ACTTGGTTGGCTTTCGCAAGCGGTGTCAATTACTCCAGTTCGAGGTGCAAACTGCGACAGATTGGGCAGAGCGTGCCTGGGTGCAGCCATCACGAGCTAGCAGGTGGCAGTAGACTCTTTTGATCACTGACGTACTTAACAAGCAAGGATTATGTTATGACTGCATAGTGAATTGTGTGATTTGCCGGGATACCGTCAGCACGAAAGAGTAATGTTGAAAGAAGTCAACCCATAACCACAGCTTCCGAAAATTCAGGCGATGCCATAAGCTTGGCGATCAAGTCGTCGTCGAGGGTAGGGACGACCTGGCGATGATCAGCTCCCGACGATAAAGGTCGACCCCGACTTGCCCGTTCTTATGATGGACGAGGAGACCAAGAGGAGTTGAGAGACCCAGCAGGGCAGTGGGTCGTAAGAGGGGACTAGGGTCGAGGAAGAGCCCCGATAGTCCAACGCCGAAAAGTCAAGTTGATTCTGAGACGACATTTCGATTGGCTGGTCAGAATGTCAAAAGCCGAAATAATTGGTGTTCTGATGCGCTATTGGCCGAAGGATGCCAACTGCTGGGTTCCGCCACGGTTATGGCCGAGTCGCCGTCAGGACCTATTACCCGAATAGGCAACAGATAAGTCTGCTGTGTCAGAGATCCGTGCACAGCTGCTGATGTAAGCATACAGAAACCACTTTACGCGTCGATATCGCATTATCTATTTCTCCGCTGCGCGTCGCGTCTTGAACGCGTGTCTCTGAGAGAAGAAAGTTAAGACTCCGAGGGGATAATTATTGACGCTATCGACGCTTTCATCGGGCGTCTTGCTCAACGTCACGCTACTGAAAAAGGACTTGTTTCTCAAATAACTATTTACTCGAATAACAATATTCAATCGTTCCTCGTTATTGTTCTTCGATTTGTGCAATTGTCCTATCCATAGCGGCCCTGTTCTGGCCGTCCGCCCTCGCCCAAAATGTCTTCCCTTTTTGACGCCGTACTTCAATCTGAATTGGGGTCGACAGCTGGCTCCCGTGACAATAGGCTCCATTCAGACCACCTCCCCAGCTCTCGGCCACAACCGCCATCCGAGAGCAATGGCCCGTTGAGCGAGATACATGGCGGCTTCCCCGATGACCAAGTCGTGAACCCTAGCCGGTCGACTGTAAGTCGACTTCGCAATCCCTATCTTCCTGGGCCTCCCCCAGTGGTCGACTTGGCCGGAGAGAAAGTACAGCAGGCCTTTGAGGAACTGCTTGAGACCTATGTGGAGGAACCGTCTTTGTCGGCGCCTCCACCGTCGTCGGAGATACTGAGTGACAAATATTATATCGCACAAATCCACGGCATGAAGAAATTCGAGCTTTCAACCCTCTATGTCGATTTTACCCACTTGACTTCTCTCAATAACCAGATTCTGGCGGATGCGATCGCCAACCAATACTTTCGATTCCAACCCTTCCTAACAAGAGCCCTTCACAATTTAATTGCGAAATATGAACCTGAATACTTCGTCTCTCATCGCCAAGCCAGCAGTGCCTCCTCCCAGGCTAGCTCATCGATGATGGCCGCCAATGCGAGTGTGACAGAAAACCCTGACTTGGAGCGGAATATGCGCGAGAAGACCCGCCATCAGCAGACTGACAAGCTGTTTTCTTTGGCATTTTACAACCTGCCCTTGGTCTCTAGACTGCGCCAACTCCGTACCTCCCAAATTGGGAAGCTGCTCTCTATTTCCGGTACCGTTACTCGGACATCTGAGATCCGGCCTGAGCTCTCTCTGGGGACCTTCGTTTGTGAGCAGTGCAAATCTGTTGTATCGAATGTGGAACAGACCTTCCGATACACCGAGCCAACACAGTGCCCAAACGACATTTGCATGAACCGCTCTGGATGGCGCCTGGATATTGGAAAGAGCACATTCGTCGACTGGCAAAAGGTGAAACTGCAGGAGTCATCACACGAAATTCCAACTGGGAGCATGCCCCGCACCATGGATGTGATCTTGCGTGGTGAGATGGTCGACCGTGCCAAGGCTGGTGAACGTTGCATCTTCACCGGTACACTGATCGTAATTCCTGATGTCAGTCAACTGGGACTTCCAGGTGTACGACCGGAGGCTGTTCGCGATAACGGTGCTTTCCGGAGTGGCGATGTCGGCGGAGGAGGTGTCACTGGTCTCAAGTCACTGGGTGTCAGAGACTTGACTTATCGACTGGCGTTCCTTGCCTGTATGGTCACACCTGATACAACAACTCCTGGCCAGCAGTCGAATCAACAGTTGAACGGCCAATCCCACAATATCCTGGCTTCATTGAACCAAAACAGTGAACCAGAAGGCGACGAGGACAAAGCCCAGGAGGCTCTCCTTCAGAGTTTCACCCCGTACGAAGTGCAGGACTTGAAGAACCTGGTTCACTCAGAGTATATCTACTCTCGATTGGTAGATTCAATCGCCCCTATGATCTACGGTCACCGGCAGATCAAGAAAGGGTTGCTTCTGCAATTGATTGGAGGTGTCAGCAAACATACGGAACGGGAGAACATGAAATTGCGTGGCGATATCAATATTTGCATTGTTGGTGATCCCTCAACAAGCAAGAGTCAGTTCTTGAAGTAAGCTTTCAGCCATGCCAACGCGCTCTTTGTGCCATTTTGGACGTTCTGACCTGTTCTTTCCAGGTACATCTGTTCTTTGCATCCTCGCGCTGTCTACACTAGTGGCAAGGCATCATCTGCAGCCGGTCTGACCGCATCTGTCGTCAAAGATGCCGAGACTGGTGAATTTACTATTGAAGCCGGTGCTCTGATGCTTGCTGTACGTCGTGCCACGCTGTCCACACGCTATTTCTATGCTGACTCAATGACACACAACAGAACGGAGGGGGTATCTGTGCTATCGACGAGTTTGACAAGATGGACATCAGCGATCAAGTTGCCATCCATGAAGCAATGGAACAACAAACTATCTCTATTGCTAAAGCGGGCATTCATACTACACTCAATGCTCGTGCGTCGATTCTTGCAGCTGCTAATCCTGTTGGTGGTCGTTACAACCCGAAAGCTACATTACGCGCAAATCTCAACTTCAGTGCTCCTATCATGAGCAGATTCGACCTGTTCTTTGTGATTCGGGATGAGCCGAATGAAACAGTGGATCGTAATTTGGCTGACCACATTGTCAACGTGCACATGAACCGTGATGAGGCCGTCCAACCAGAACTGAGCACGGAGCAGCTGCAGCGCTACATTCGGTTTGCGCGGACCTTCAGACCCGTGTTCACAGAAGAAGCTAAGGCTTTGCTTGTTGAAAAGTACAAAGAGCTGCGAGCAAACGACGCTCAAGGAGGTATTGGCCGCTCTTCATATCGGATCACAGTCCGTCAACTCGAGTCTTTGGTTCGTCTCTCCGAGGCTGTCGCCAAGGCCAACTGTGTAGAGGAGATCGTACCGAGCTTTGTACGCGAGGCCTATGACCTTCTACGCCAGAGTATCGTCACTGTCGAGAAGGATGATGTTGAAGTTGACGACGACGAAGGCACCCATGCGAATGCAGGCGTCGGTGAAGAGGATCACGAGATGGCTGATCGGGACAGGCAAGGTGACAGTCCCATGCGTGATCATGCGGAAGCACAACCGCGTCAGAAAACAAAGATCACATATGACAAGTACATGAAGATCTTGAATCTGTTTGTTCGCCGCGTGAGTGAGGACGAATCGAGGTCGGGCGAAGGTGTCGAGCAAGAAGATCTGATTGTCTGGTACCTGGAGCAAATTGAGTCCGAGCTGAACAACGAGGAAGACCTACAGCGTGAGCGCGACCTGGCAGGAAAAGTGTTGAAAAGGATGGTCAAGGTTCGTTCTTCACCGAGAGCAAGTGTCTTTGTCACCGCTTATTTTACTGACTATTTTCGTCTCAACAGGAAAATATCCTCATGCCAATCCGAGGAGAGGGTCTGGTGGACGCTGATGGGGATCAGCAAGAGCAAGTCCAACGGACTGTCTATGTGCTGCATCCTAACTGTGCCTACGAAGAGGCTTAATCGGTAGTGTTCTCTTCTTGGGTTTCAGGGTCAAGGATTATCATATATATGGCGGGCATACCTATGGAGCAAATGGTCATGAGTGATGATACCTGTTTGTTTTTTCCACTATTTTCTCTCACTTTCGGCTGGGATTGCTGTTGATATTTGGTACTAGATTGATGATTAAGGGTATGGGCTCCACTGGATTCCTTCTATCATTTCTCTAATACACATCGGATTCGGATCTGCTACTCTCTACATGCCCTCGGTTAGCAATTAACATCCGTTTTATTAAGCAGGCGTGCTTCTTCGTTGAGGCCTGTCATCACATATCAACTGCGTTTGGATTGCCCTCTTCCCTTGCTCTCACTTTCGGGACGTTTCTACGAGGTCCCTTTCTCAAGTCGTTCTCTATAGACGTCTCTACTTCCACCTATCACCTTGACCTCACCATTTGCCCTAATCTGACCTAACGCTCCCAGCAAATCTCGAGCTTATACCTTGCTTCTCTTTCTTTCATATTCCTACTCTGCTACGCGTCCCATCACCTTCTTGAACTCAGATTAAGTTGAAACCAGTTATCTACTTCGGTCTCGCTTGTCCTTGAAGGATATCTTTCACTTCTCTCGTCTCATCTCCTTTCATTCGCTCCTCACCCTTATGCTCGGTTTTCATATCAAGCTGGCCTCATCTTCCTACCTCCAGTCTATAAAAGCCTAATTCAAACGATCATCTCCGTCTTCTATCTTCCTTCCTTGCTCTCCTATATACCAGCAGACTCGCCTTCTTTCCGCTACACTTCCTCTCAGCTCTGGTTATTCCCTCTTACAAACTACAGTCCTCCTCCCAAGCCTATCTTCTCCAAGCACCGCAGAAGGGGAGCCGTTGAAAACCATTTTGTAACCTCTGATCATCGGCTTTCCTTGGTTATCTCAATCGTCTATTCCCAATAGCCTACGTTGTGACTCTCCTCTCTACTCGCAATCATGGATCTCGATCCTCCACAAAGCAGTGACAATATGTTGCCAGAACCTGGACCTCCTGAACTAGATATCAACCTTTCTCAGTTAGAGGACATAGATGCACGTCGACAGCAAACCGCATCGAAAGCCTTCTTTGCCCGAAGCGTTTTGGCTTTACGGAACAATGTCCCTACGACTTCCCTTCCCAACGATACGGCAGCACCTCCCTCGACTCCTGAACCATCAATAACTTGCACAGCACCTGCTCCTTTCGACAACCAACTTTTTGTGAGCCAGCCCGCGGACAATACCCTTGACAATAATGAGATTGAGCAAATTCGGCAATTCGTTGCTTCCCAGAATGGGAATGTGAGCGAAAGCAATGGCCTTACCGCCATGTCCCAGGAGCAAGACAATGTATCAACCGAAACTTCAAGTGGTGTGACCGCCATTGAGAATCTGATGAATCTGGATGAGCCACAACCTGTGATGGCCTCATCGTCGAACCCCTCCGAAGCCCCTGACGCGCCTGCGGTTACAGGGACTCAGGGATCGGTTGACGAAAATGACGTGTCTGAATGGCCTGAGGTCCAGGAAGAAGATTCTACAGGGTAAGCCACATGATAGCGGTTTGAATTTCCACTTGACTGACAGTGGGAGGTTTGATATCATCGAGACATGGTATAATACCCTTGAGAACCCGACTCTCGAGGAAACAGTACAGTATGAAAAAGCAAAGCAGCGAGAGACTCGACGCAGGGAGAGAATTGCCAGCCGGAAGGCTCTGGAAGAGGCAGAACAGAACCTCGAGACTTTTCCAGATTTATCTGATGATGAGTTGCTCAACCCGTCGCTTGAAGCATTACCCGGAGACACTGGTAAGCGCTCGGATATGGCGTCTGCAAATCGACCTTCGAAAGGCCCACGAAAGCAGAAGAATAGGGTCTCTGCTGCAGAAAGACGCCGAAGTATGCGGTTAGGTCTCGACATTGCCTTAGGACGTGTAACGAGGAAGAGGGGATCCGGAAAGAAACGCTCTCGAAAGCGAAAAGCAGACGACAGCGATGAAGATGTTCCAGCTAGCGGTGACGTTAGCAAGAAAAATCTGTTTGATCCGGAGTTCGACCTAAACGCATTTCTCAATCCCGATGTTATCGCAGACGCTCAAGCGAATGCCGGACTTCCGGCAATTCCAATATCTAATTCCAAAAACAAGAAAAGTGCCCTGGCTGAACTTGTCGCTAGCATCCCGTCTGCCGATCAGGATCAGGCCAAGTCCGACAGGCAGGCAATCCTCGAGGCAACCACAAAGTTCAGGCATAAAGCAAGATCTGATGGCAAAGGGGGGTGGAGGATAAAGGGCATGAAGACTAGTCTCTTCCATCATCAGGTTTGAACGCCTTCGGCATGCTTTGATTATCCAAACTAACGCGTGACATAGCTCCTCGGTGTAGCGTGGATGGTAAGCAAATGCTAGGGTAGATTGAGAAAGACGACTAATGTCAACAGCGTGATCGGGAGAATTCGACCAGTCCGCCCTATGGGGCTTTCTTTGCGATGTTATGGGTTATGGCAAAACTATTCAGGCTCTAGGTAAGTAGCATTTGCCAAATTCCGCGCGTGGCAAACGTTAACTGTTGCGCCCTAGCCAATATTGTTGATGGAAGATGCGTTGACCCAGACCACCCCGTCAAAACAACATTGATTGTCGTTCCACCTCACCTTGTCGGGCACTGGTATGACCTGTCGGTGCTGTTTTGTTTCATGATAATTTATTCTGATAATATGAACAGGGAATGCCAAGTCGTCAAGCATTGCGAGAAGGACGCTGTTGGTGACGTCCTTATATACTGTGCTCAGAGCAGAATGCGTTGCGTCGACGTTATTCAAAGTCTGCAGAAGTTCAGTGTCATGTAAGTTATACTGTGGCACGCTTCCCAAATGACTAACTCATTTGGTGATCAGAATTACGACATACGACGAGGTCAGATGCTCGTATCCGCAGTTAAAGCGTAGAGGTGAGGTTCTCGATGAAAAGAAGATCGTTGAGATGTGGGAGGAGCTCTACGCCAAAGAGATCGGGCCATTACATCAGATCAAGTTCTTGAGGATCATCCTTGATGGTAAGCTTCTGAAAAATGCCAAGCTTTCATTTGTAACTGACTGTGTCTACTCAGAGGGACATTTTATCAAGAACCATCTTGCCTCTACGTCAATCGCCGTCCGTGCTCTCACTGGTCATCACAAATGGATTTTGAGTGGAACACCCGTGCCTAAGTAAGTATGCTTGCTTCTCACATCGAGATACCAGAGTGCTAATAGACCGACTGCAGCTTCATCACTGAGTTCTATCCGCACTTCGATTTCCTGGAGTATCCAGACACGAATGATTACAGTCGGTTCGTGAAACGCTATTGCGAGGTATATAAATGGCCCCTCACTGTTACTCTATTGACCTCTAACAATTATGCGACAGGGCGATGAAGCCCAGCAGCGCCTTCGGAATCTATGTCGAACATATATCCTCCTTCGGACTCATTCCAGTCGACTCTTCTCGTTGCCTATCATCAAGTTACCTGATATCGGCGAGTCGGTCATCAAGGTAGATTTCTGTGATGTAGAAAGAAGAATTTACGACGAGGTTCTCGAGCAATTCATTGCAAATATAAACGGTTCGTGTTATTGACCTGTTGCTTTGCACGTGCATGAACTAACCAACCTCTTGGTGAAGGTCTCAGCGATGACACGAATCCGTATCTCGCACAGTGTCGGTGCTTTCTCACTATGATCTTGAAACTGAGAATGATCTCTAGTCATTTGCTCACAACTCAAAATCTTGTCAAGGGGCTATTGACCTCTTCTCTTATGAGAGATCTTGTCGAAATTGCAAGAGAAACAAGAGATCCTGACCATCCTTCAACCCAGATAAACAAATGGTTTATCACTTTGAAGAAAGGGGTTTCTCTGCCCGCCGCATCGCCAGACAACGAAGATCCGAGCCAGTCGAGAAATGAGCTTAACGGAGACAGAGAAGAGCTTGTCAAACAATTTCACAAGTTCACTACGGAGCTTCACGAGGACGGGCAATGGGACGAGCGACTGAGAAGAACCAGCTGCCCACACTGCGAGTTGACTCCAATAGGTCCAATAATCACCAGCTGCATGCATCTGTATTGCGAAGAATGCTATTTCATTCTCAAAAATCGTCTCACTTCTGCGGATGGGAAGCCAATATGTCAAATATGCAACACCCCTATTGCGGAGGCTGCATATTGCGGCACCGCCGAACGTATCGTACTCGATGAGCCGTCGGCCCCTTCCAGTTTGACTCAGAACAACACCAGAAAAACCAAACCATCTTCTCAGAAAAAGTCAAGCAGGTTGTTTGGTAGTCGGATGTTCGCAACCGCCGCACAACGATCACGAATGAAGCAAACGGACGATGAACAGCAGAATGAAGATGAGGAGCTAGATTGGATTTCAGCCACTCAAGGGGAATGCCTGGTGCAAAGGTTGATAAGGTTCGGGAATTAGTCGCTAATTGGATTCGAGAAGATCCAGAAGCCAAAGTTGTCGTTTTCACGCAATTTCTTGACTTTGTTCGGATTTTTTCCTCGATATGTACCAAGGAAGGCTGGGCGCACTGTCGTGTAAGTGCATTGCTATTTCAATTTTCAATGAGCTGCCTTGAGTGCGCACTAACATCAAGATAGTTCACGGGAAAGATGTCAATTGGAGCTCGCGACTTGAGTATGAATGATTTCAGGGAGAAGCGAGAAGTGAAAGTCATGATTGCAAGCCTCATGGCCGGCGGTACAGGGCTCGACATGTCCATGGCAAATAAGTGTATCCTTGTGGATCTCTGGTGGAACGAAGCCATGCAGCAGCAGGTACGCATCCGTTTATGGGACAATAGTTGAATATACTTTCTAACGGTTATTATCTCAGGCGTTCTGTCGACTGTACAGAATAGGACAAGAGAAAGTGGTGGAGATTGTCAAAATCATCGTCCAGAACACGATTGACGACTACATCCTCCAGCTACAAACGAAGAAGTCGGCCAATATCAACAGCACCATTGGTGAAGAAGCATTGCAGAAACGAGACAAGATTATTGACCTTCTTAAAATGTTCGCAGAAGTCGAGGTGCAAGAAAACGGTGGCATCGTAGTCGAGGTACGCCGCAAGGGGGAACAAGCCGACAAGGGCGACAAAGGCACCAAAGGCAACCAGCAAGGCGCCGCGAAACGATCCAAAGGTAAAGAACCCAAGGGCAAAGAACGCGATACAGGGGATACAGGGGATACAGGCATTGGCTCTTCAAATTAGTTCTCAGTGCTTGAAACGCACTACTCAAGATGAACGGAATCACTTGGTTATTTGGCGCTATCTATTGGTCTTTTCTTTGGTTATTTCGGGATTCCACATATTGCCAGCATATGGAATTTTGATTATTAGTTCAGTTCTCGTCTACATATCTAATACGGTTATCAGACAATATCATTACGGCAAGTGCTGCCTTCCACATAAGGCCTTTCCACATGGCAACTCATGAATTTATCACCCCCGTTGATAGACCGCAACAGAGACCGAATCCATCTCCTGCAAAATACTACCTTGCTCATGGCCATTCTCAACATTCTCTTTGTCTTCGTCAGGAGAAGAATGCCAATCCTCTCCGCAGAAGACACCCTCAATCTCCATATCCACCGGATCCTCGTAGATGGGAAACATGCTCGGCGAATTCTTGCGCTGCGAAGAGAAGCTTCTAAGCCCTCCACTAAAAGACGGATTTGACCAAGTACCGAACGAATGAATCGGACACTGCCCATGGAACCTCTCAGGAGGCGCCTCTGTCTCAGCCTCTGTCTCCGTTTCACTCCCCATATACATCATGTCTATGTCCGTCTCTTCGCTCATAGCCCGGCGAGGCACAGCAGGCAAGACGCCATTCGCATCGACATGGCCTTGCTGATAGCTATCAAGGTTAAAGAAGCCCGTATAATGATTGAAAAGCTGAGTAGAATCCAGCAGCGGCCCTGTGCCCTGATGACTTGCGTTCGTAGATTGTGTCTGGTACGGAAGTTCGGATTGGGATATCCTTGCTCTCTTGGCCGGTGGAATTGGGGCTATGGTGCTCTCGTCTGCAGTGCTATCTCCAATCTCGTTATATGTTCCAGCCCGCGGAGTGTTGTTGTTTATGGAGTTGGTGATATTATTCTGTACAGGGCAACGTTTTCTCCTCTCACGGTGGAAGGCAGTTGTCTGTGTCATTTGCTTGTTAGCAGCATGATCTTGATATCATAAAAGCCTGTATCGACTCACCACCTGATCTACATCCAAACAGAGCTCAAAATCTATCTCGTCCATCATTGTGTGCGTAGGCGACTGCAAGAAATGGCAAGTTAGTGATGTTGGCCGGACAAATCCTCAATGGTGAGTTTCACGTCTGCGGACTATACACCGTCGTTCTCCAAGATTTTGGCCACAAAAGAAGAAATGATAGAGTGCTATGTGCCAGGAAACTTGCGACTTGAGGGGAGGTGACTGCTTTAGTCGATGGCTGTGTGCGGGCCCGAAAAGGAATCGAAAGATATCTCCAGCTGCGACGTACCCGACTCGAGGGAAGACTGTTTTGTTGGACCGTACATGGCATGATAGCAGTAAAGAGCAGACAAATGCTGGTTAAAATGCAAGAACAGAGCGCTTGTGTATTCAATCAGTGTGGATGAAGTGGACGATCTAGCGTCCCGTCCTCGAGCCAGAACGCTGCTTGAAGTACTTACTTCGACAGTGAGGAGACAAAGACGAAACGCCGGACTGATTTACGAAATGGAAGGATGTGAGCTTGTGAACATGGCTGACAAGACGATTTAGAGAAAAGAGGGTGGAGTAACGATGTCCGGACCCTGGGATAGAGCGCAGCACTTCACACACTATGATCGATTTTGTCTGCGACTCAGAACCAATTCATTTGTTCAACGTGACTCTTTCATAGCTTGAGTGACGAACAGATTGCAGGCGATTCAGTGTCATAGTAGAGAGACGTTTAGCGGGTTCAAGCATGGAGACTTGTTGCCTACACATTTTCTTCTCGGTGGTTTGTCCTTGACCATGGACCCGACAACTGGCAGAAGATACTACCGACAGCGACGAGTTACGCAGTCTCAAGGACACTCCTCATACTTACAAATAGATATTACGCAGATTCCTAGATCACAACACCTCGGATAGAGTTGACCGTCCATGTAGTTGATCGAGATTCATAAGCTAACTAGCAGGAGTAGATCACAATCACGATCACTATTGCCATGACACATACAATCCTCGAGAGATTGAAGTCAAGAGGACGATCGTCTCGTCATAAATCATACTGGAACAATATCCTCGCAGCGTTGGAGCAAAGCCATTCCAGTGAGACCATAATACCCCCTTTGCGAGGCATAAGAGTGAAACGGGGTGAAAAAAAACAGCATAAGTTAGCTAAGAAATTGCAGACAAACCAACAAAACCAACTCAAAATGCTCCAGCAAAGGGGGCATCATGGCATCTCAGGAATTCCAGTCTGCGCACGCATGAGGCATGGTTGGTCTGCGCCATACTCATCTACCGGAACTGCCCTGGGACACCAACTTGGCCGAACATGTCCAAAAGATGTCTGGAGGATGGAGGAGGTCCTTGTGGACCGGGGTTACCCTCAAAAGGGCCATGTCCACCATGACCAAGTCCCAGAAGAGCGTCACTATTATGTGGCATAGGTGGGAAACCGGATGGCGGGGGCACGTTCACGTAACCAGGTGGGGGCATCATCCCTGGTGGAAGGGAGCCGCCCGCACCGCGTGGGAAAAGCTGGCGTTCATTGGGAGGAGGAACATTGCCATGCATAGGCGGCATCATGAAGTTCGGGTTGACACCTCGTGTTGGGGTTGGAATGCCAGGAGGAGGAACCAAGGGGCCGGGGCCGCCACCCTGCTGCGGAGGCATCTGAGGACCATTCCATCCTGGAGGCGGAAGATGCTCAAATCCCGGTGGTCGATGAATACCCATGCCAGGATGGCCCTGCGCTTGAGGAGGCCTGGAGCCACCTGGGGTGATTGGCATATGACCGCCTTGGGGAAATGGGACCTCATCAAAGTAACCCATGGGCGGTCCATTGGCAGGTCTTCTCCGAAGCTGATCAGCATCTGGTCTCTGCATGTTGGCAATTGCCGGGTCATCCAAGAAATTATGCCCTTTCTGAGCAGTCGGGATGCCGGGCGGGCGGGACAATACTTCCGGCACATTCATTAGACCAGGCGCCGGACCGGCACTTTGAGGTTGACCGTGTAGTCCGTGAGGTTGAGGAGCGACCGGACTCACTCTGACCTGTTGCATTAAACGAAGAAGATGCTCTCTGTCGCGAGGCTGAGAGTCCTTGAAAGTGGAGTCGTGTGCGTGCATGTTTTCGTGAATTGAGGGAGCCGTGCTGTGAGGATGGGCATCCGGCATGGCCATGTATTCCGGCCGTTTCACCGAGTCCTTAGAAGGAGAAGAGAGAGCACTCAGAGCTGAATCGACTTGCGCCATGGTTGGGCGAGGGGCCTGTGCACTGTCGTTTTGGGGTGTCGCATTGCGCGATTTGCTTCCTCCAAGCATCTGTAAGATGCGCTGGAACCCTTCCTGATCCGCATCATTGGTTGAAGGTTGGGGAGCTGGTGATCTGGTTCCAAATTGGTGCTCCGATTCCTTCGCTGGGCTTCCTGGAGGCGGACTAAACAACCCGGCAAATCGAGACGACTTTCCAGGCTTTCCCGGTGCTGGCTCTTTCTTGATAGGTATTTCGATGGAGGCGGGTGCGATGATCTCCTGAGCGGGTTTTGCATCACCTAAGAGTCCAAAGAAACGCTCCATCGCTGAATCCGACTGGAGAGTCGCACCGTTGCTACTGAATATTTCGCCATCCGTGGGTCGCTGTTCGGGCTGCGCAGGCTGCGCAGGTCTGCTGGCAACCGATTCGGAGGGAGCTTCTTTCTTCTCCTCCACTTGTGCTTGCGAAGAACCGGCCTTCATTCGCTCTTTCCAGCGCTCAAAATCTTCTTGCGTATGCACCTTACGCGACTCATCTCTGTCATTCGTGTCCATCCACTCAGGATCCTGTTCAAACTTGGCTCCCCGATTCCAATCGCGATCTGCACCATGTCTATCTCGGCGCCAATCTCTGTTCCGCACTGAAAGTTTCTCGTCTTCTGTCTCTGGTCCGTCTTGGGCATTGTCATTACGAAACCAGCTTCCTTCATGTCTGGCTCGACCCGGCGTACCATCTTTCCGAGGGGTAAATTGTCCTTCTTTCTCGCTCACCACTCGCTCGGGATTCTGCTCCCTCTGATCACGGTTCCAACGGTCGAATTCTACATTGCGTCTGGGTTTTCTGTCTTGATCATCTTGGCCAAAGGTACGGCGCGGCCGTCCGTTGTTCCATTCTTCTCTTTCCCCACGACGACCGTTGAACGGCGTTGGTTTACCATCACGGCGATCAAAGTCTCTATCTCCGGCTTCCCTGTCCTTGAAGAACTTGTCTCGCAAATTGAAGCGCTCGTTTGATGCCTCATCAGGCTCGACCTGACGGGAGGGACGGTCCGTGAAATCTATCGAGCCTTTGCTACCGGGTATGCGAGATGCAGATGCGAAAGCAGTTTTGGGAGGCCCGAGAACAATATCCTCTTCAACAACAGCCCCGGGTTAGCTAGTCTTGGCACACGAAAAGGTGGACAATGGCGTCATTTACCAGAATTTGAGTTTCTCGAGATATGGCGATTCTCGAATAGGCTTGGTCTTCTAGGTGTCGATTCGTCTGGATTCGTGGGGTCTCTAGAATTCGTAGGTTTTCGTTGCGCTGTTGGGTCAGGGATCGGGCTGATAATGAGTAGAATCGTCAGTCTCATGAGAGCGAGCGAGATAAGCATGGTCACTGGAAGCGAGCCATATTATTCTTACCCCATCCATTCTTCTACCGGTGGTAGATTTGTAGGCTTAGTGACCAGAGGCGATGAGCGCAGCCATAGCAGCTCATCGATCTGGTAACGTCGCGCCATAAGGATGGCAGTGCGTGTGTGTGATATGATGATCAGATTGTTACCGCGTGCTCATTGGTTCACACCTTCGAGAGGCACGAGCGTCGCCGACAGGAATAAGTCTTGTGAGCAGAGAATAGATCGCTGAGTGGAGACGTTCTCAATCGACTGAAAAGGGGTTTCGAAGAATAAAAGGTCAAATGAAAAGCGAGGCCACTTGCCAGTGGCAAGGCGGCAGGCGGAGGTGGAATCGGTGAAGGATCAAAGTGTGCTTGGGAATGGATGAGGGGTAACAAGAATGGTTTTGTTTTGGAATTGCTTCGACAGGGTAAGTCTGAGAATAATCTGAATAGCAGATAATATGGTCACACTGTCGATTTCAACG